ACACGAGTATTTCCGTTAAAATAAACCCACCAGTATCTTAGCCCAGGTCTTCAATGTCTTAGAAAAGGCTGGCAAGATTGGGAGCATGCTGTTCCATAGAACGTGCACCATTATAGAGAAGGCACACTTTCTGAGTACCATTACATGATGCTGTTTGGTAGAAGGGACTTGTAGAGGGGATAGGAAGAAATAACTAGAGACAGTGGCACAAATAACCTGGTTCTGTGCTATGCGTAGCTTAATAAATGATAACCAGAATCTTGAATAGCATAGCATGATCAACAATACTGCAAGCTACCAAGAGAACAAGGAGGACCAGAATGCACTTATCACCACATTAGGTGAAACCTGGCTCAATAGCAGTAACCTTGAGGGGGATTTTGGAGTCCTAGTACAATCAAAATATGAGCTAGAAGTGTGCAACAGCCAAAAAAGCCAAGGCAATTCTAGGTTGTATTAACAGGGGCATTGAATCAAGATCACGTAAAGTATTTGTATGGCTTTATAAAGTCTTAGTAAGACCAAACTTAGAATACTGCATCTAATTTTTGTCACCGTATTATAAAAAAGATGTTGAGATTCTGGAAAGAGTGCAGAAAAGAGCAACAGAGATGATTAGGAACTGGAGGCTAAAAAATTAAGAACAACGTTGCAGTAATTGGGTATGTCTAGTTTAGTGATAATAAAGACCAGCAGTGACATGATAGCAGAATTCCAATATTTTAGGGACTTGCCACAAAGAAGAGGGGATCAACCTACTTTCCCATGTACCTGAAGGCAGGACACGAAGCAATGGATGGAAACTAATCAAGGAGAGTTCCAACCTACAACTAAGGAGAAATTTCCTAACAGTAGAACAACCAACCAGTGGAATGCCTTCAGAATTTGTGCGTGCTCCATTCACTGAATGCTTTTAAGGAGACTGGCAGCCATTTTCCTAAAATGGTATACATCTCCTGCTTGAGCAGGGGATTAGACCAAGGTCTCTTCGATATTCTTATTTCTCTCTCCAGAGATGTTCAAGTGCAATTAATATCTCACTATGCCCAGGTCCTGAACCCCAATGAAAGGGGATTAGATAATCAGCTTCTTCCAGAGTTATTTGAAGCCCCAGCCTGACCACTTTTTCTACAACCTTTACCAAGAATGGAGGGCAAGGGCAAGAATTCTCCAATAGCACTTGATCCAGTTACAGTTTCCTGAGGCCGGGATGAACTATCTCCTTAATTGTTGGTGGCACTAACAACTCATTCAAGAATGAAATCACCAATACATGGATATAACTATATGTTTCATGGGAGGCTTTACCATTCAGGAAGGACATGGATGTAAAATGTTGGTGGCCACCCTCACAGATTTGTGGGTGTTATTCACTTCCTTGGGACTAAAAACTTAATAGAATAAAATAATTCCCCCACAAGGAATTTGTCTCTGGTGTATGAGCTCTCAGAATACATACAAACAACAAAGTGACAAATCATAAAATAAAACAATAGTGATAAGACACTAGAGATCAATAGGAGATGGTAATAGGAAAGATGACAATGATAATAACAATATAGTCCTATTAGGGTAAATATCCTTAAGGTATAAGACAGGGAATTAGGTGTTTAGCAGAGGGGGAAAAGCTGTCTTTGTGTCTAGTTTTGGCATACAATGCCTTACATCTTGAGTGGAGGAGTTGAAACAGTTTATGTCCAAGGATGTGAAGGTCTGTCGATATTTTCTCTGCCCTTTCTGGCTTGTGCTGTATACAGGTCCTCAATGGAAATCAGGCTAGTTGTAATTGGTTTTTCTACAGTCCTAATAATTCATCGAAGTTTGTACCTGTACTGTTTGATTGTTGTGCCAAACCAGACAATTATAATAGTACAAATGACAGCGTCAATAATTCCTCTGTAGAACTGTATCAGGAGCTCCTTAGACAGCCTAAGCTTTCTGAGTTGACACAGGAAAAACATTCTTCGTTGTGCCTTTTTAATAATTCTAGTGTAAGGTGTCCATCTCAAATCCTTATTATAGAACCCAGATTATAGAACCCAATATAAAATCACTTCTGGTGATTATAGAGAATGAGGTGCAAGGTCTATTTCACAGACAAAAGCCAGAAAAAGCACCAGACAAGATAACTCCTTCTTGCTTAAAAGCTTGTGCTGACCAACTGGCCCCCATCTTCTCCCACATCTTTAATAACTAGAGATGTGCTATGTTCCTTCTTGCTTCAAATGCTCTACTATCATACCAGTGCCGAAGAAACCTAATCATCAAGGAATTGAATGATTTCAGACCAGTTGCTCTAACATCTGTAGTTATGAAGACCTGTTAAGGGCTAGTGCTGGCCCACCTGAAAACCATCAAAGATCCGCTGTTAAGACAGTTTGCAATTTGCCTACTGAGCAAATAGATGTTAATATAACTCTGTACTATCTTACAACATCTTGAATCTCCAAAAGACCTATGAAAGGGTCCTCTTTGTAGACTTCAGCTCAGCGTTCAATACCTTCATTCCAGATATTCTTCTAACTAAACCAAACCAGTTAGCATTACCTGAACACACTTGTAAATGGATCATAAGCTTCCTAACAGGTGAAGCTAGGCAAAACCACATCAGATACCTGTACAATTAGCACAGGAGCCTCCCAGGGCTGTATGCTCTCTCCACTTCTCTCTCTATACCAATGACTGCATCTCAAAAGATCCCTCTGTTAAAGTACTGAAGTTTGCAGATGGTACAACAGTGATTGGTCTCATTCGAGACAACAATGAATCTGCATACAGACAGGAGGTTGAATAACTAGCCTTGTGGTGCAACCAGAACAATCTTGAACTAAATACACTTAAACCTTAGAAATGGTGGTAAATTTTAGGAGAAACCTTCCTATACTACCACCTCTTACAATACTAGACAACACAGTATCAACAGTAGAGACTTTCAAGTTTCTAGGTTGTATCATATCTCAAGACCTAAAATGGACACCTAACATAAAAACATCATCAAAAAAGCATAACAAAGAATGTTCTATCTGCGCCAACTGAGAAAGCTCAAACTGCCCAAAGAGCTACTGATTCAGTTCTACAGAGAATTATTGAGCTTGTCATCTGCACCTCTATAACTGTCTGGTTTGGCTTTGCAACCAAACAAAACAGACACAGACTTCAACGGATAATTAGAACTGCAGAAAAAACCGTTGCTACCAACCATTGAGGACCTGCATACTCATGAGTCAAAAAGAGGGCTCACATCCTGGACATAAATTGTTTCAACTTCTACCCTCAAAACGACGCTATAGAGCACTGCACACCAGAACAACTAGACACAAGGACAGTTTTTTCCCAAATACCATCACTCTGCTAAACAACTAATTCCCACAACACTGTCAAAGTATTTACTAAGACTGTATTACTAGTATTCTTCTCATCCTTCCTAGTACCTACCTCTTCCCACTTATGGCTATAACAGTGTTGCTTGTATCTTTACGATTTATACTGTTTAGTTTCCTAGTATGATTTGATTGCCTATGACTATCACTAAGTATTGCATGTTATGATTTTTGATGAATGTATTTTATTTTTTCTTTATGTACACTGAGAGCATATGCACCAAAGACAAATTCCTTGTGTGTCCAATCACACTTGGCCAATAAAGAATTCTGCTCTACTCTATTCTATTCAATAACTTGAAGATCTCAACTGTTGATACTGTGTTGTCTAATATTGTAAGAGATTATAAAATACAAGGGCTCCTCCTAAAATCTACTATCATCTCTGCAGTTTTAAGTGTGTTCAGATTATTCCACTGCATCAAAGGGGCAGTTATTCAGCCTCCTGTCTGTATGCAGATTCATCACCAACTTGAATAAGACCAATGACTGTTGTATCGTCTGCAAACTTCAGTATTTTAACAGTACTCTTAAAAACTTAAAATTGGGATAGCTTGAATACTTGAGATAGCTAACAACTGCTTCTACCTCTCCCATTGATTGTTAACAGAACCAGAGCATCACAATTAATTTCTGTAAGCCAGAACATATAAATACGGCGTACATACTACTGATACAAAATAACTCAAGATAACAAACAATACAAACAATTATGTCATGAAAAAGAAAAAATGTTCAGCATAATTAATGAAGTTGACATACAGAAAGATGCAGGGCCTGGGATTTATGTACTAGGCATCTTGGAACAGCCACAATTACTGGCATATTTTCTACATACACTGCTATTCTATTCTATTTGCCATAAATATATATAAAATAAAAACATAAACATCCAAAACCCAGAATGTCCTATTGGTTTAGGGGCAACATACAAATCTGTCTGTCCTAGCAAAACTGTTAACAGATGCTCAAAATGCAGTTGTAATTGGACGCTGGGTCAGACTGTTTTACAGGGTCTCCTTCAGAACCCACTGGAAGCAAAACAACCCTCATTTTTGCGATTGAGTTCTCCAGGCACAGCTACCTTACGAGACTGTAGTCAAAGAAACAACAAGCTCCGTTGGAGTCCCTAAGCAGCTTTGCCACAAGAATTCACTACACGAAGTAGCAGAAGGCCGGGGAAGAAACAAGGAGGGGAAGAAAGACTAAGGAGAGCGTCCATCAGACGCTTCACAGAACCCACCAAGCCACGGTGCCTCACTACCTTGCCTTCCTTCCATCCCTCTCCAGTCCAAGAGACCCACCTAGATCCTTGTCGTTGATGCCCAGGTGGTTGTCGAGCTCAGTGCAAACTTTGGAAACGAGCGACAGATACTCGAGCGTTGCGAGCTCCTCCGTAGGATCCGCCATGTCGCCCCTCAATATCCACCCCGTCCGGCCGATTCCCCAGCAACAAAACACTTCCGGGTTCCTTTCCTTACATGCGCTCCATCGAGAAGGCTTAGAAAGGAAGGCGAGTTTTATTTCTACGGCGCCCTCCGAAGATCATTTGGAAGAAACCTCTGAGGACGATTTCCGGACAAAAGACAGACGCAGGAGACCATAGAGAGAGTTAATTAGAGACCAAAGAAACTACTTCTCCCAGAATCCCTTCCGATCCAAGCTCCTTCTTCCCGGAAGTTGCTCACCGAACTTGATTGGCCGCTCTGGAGATGATCCGTGAGCATGTGCCAAAGGTAGGGGAAAAGATGGCGGAGCCGTCGGGTGTCTCTTCGGAAGCTCCTTGGGGAGGAAAAGTGAGCGATGCGAGTAGAAAAAGCGATGGACAGAATCAGCTGTCAGAGTAGACAGTCCTTTTTAGGAGAGGTTTTAGTTGTTTGTTGGGATCCAGTATTACAAAGTAATAGTCTAGTAAATCTCTCTGAACGTAGGAAGATTGCTTTTTCTTGCCGTATTGACTTAACCGTAGAAAGTTGTCTGTTGACCTTTTCGTTGCTTCTAACAGGGATGGTAGAGATGTTTAGGTTGGGTTCCTGCAATATGCTAGGCTGAAGGTAGCCGATTCATTAGTTTGGTTCAGTGAGCAAATGTAGCTGGTGTGATTGCACGCTGATATGCAAACTCTCAAATGGATTAATTGGGTACACGGTGGTTTAATAAGCCATGGAGTAATAAGTTGTGTAAACATAGCCGCTGACTTCTCAGGAATATTTCACGCCGAGATTAGTTGAATTCGGTTTGTTGCATAGATAGCATAATAAAATGGACACTTTAAGATTCTAAAGAGATTACTCCTGGAATTAATAAGACTGTTGCTCCTTTGATAGCAGTTGTTTTTTTTATTATGATAATTAAGGGGCTGTTTTTGGTGAGTTAGTAAATTTGCTGCTGCTTATCTTATTGCAAATTATCCTACAAAAAAACAAATGAAGAGAGACAACATTAAGTTTCCACCTTAAAATTATAGATAGCAAATATAGCATGATTGGCATGCTCAAAACTATCTTTATTGAAAAATAACTTTTTCTGAGACTTTGCACTTTATTGTCACTAGCCTGCTCAATAGAACGGAAGAGTGACCAACTTTCTAATTTATATTACTATATTTTCTTTGAGGCAAAGTATTGTTTCCCTCATATGCAGAGTTTGAACTTTATAACTTTTAATGTTGCAACATGTCATTGCTTCCTGTCTTGTTTCTCGATTGCAACAAATTGTGCAAGGGTAAGACTGAAGCATGGGTTATATATCCTTGCAAGTAATTCAACTCTTGCTCAGAAACAGGCCAAAAACTGAGGATACAAATTGGACTGTTTCTATATGTGTTTATAGGCAGCACTTACTTATTTTACATATTTTATGTGAGTTAACAGATAAAGCCATAGACCTTTAAGTGATGCTTAGGGAAATGTATTTAATACAACTCACAATCTGAGTTATCAAAGTTGAACATGGAAAAATGATGTCTTATATTTTCTCTTTGTGACATAATTCAACAGGTTGATATTTCTTATAATGACAATGGGTTGGATTCTGGTAAGTTTTAATCCCTTTATCATTCTCTTTCCCTGGTGCAATTCTATGAAGAATTCGTATTAGGGAGTTCACAAATTTTAGTTTAGTAGTTAGGCATTATTTATAAGTTAAATAATTGCACATATGTGCTAGTTGTTTCTGGCTCCAGGGGGTGGTGCTCATCTCCATTACAAAACTGAAGAGCCAGTGCTGTCCAAAGACATCTCCGTGGTCATGTGGCCGTCATGACTAAATGCTGAAGGCAAATGGAACGCTGTTACCTTCCCACCAAAGTGGTCCCTATTTTTCTACTTGCATTTTTACATGTTTTCGAACTGCTAGGCTGGCAGAAGCTGGGACAAGTAACGGGAGCTCACTGTTACGCGGTGCTAGAGATTCGAAATGCTGACCTTTCTGATCAACAAGCTCAGCATCTTAGCCACTGAGCCATCGCACCCCTTAGGCATTATTTATAGCTGCTGCCATTTCTGATTTTCCCAAAGTTTGTTCACATGAGCAAAATTCAAGAAGCATATAGTCTTTGCTTCATATTGTGCTTTGATTGAATTCCTAATAAAATAGTGAGTGAATAGGAGGGAAAGTGTTCTTGCCTTGATGAGAACCAATTGCAGTAGGGGGAAAGGAAGAAAGGAGAGATTAACTAATTTTGCAATGATAATGCCTTTTACTGCAGTGCATAGAGTACTTGCTAACTAAAGTACTTGCTGACTTGTATTGCATAATTGCAATCAATTAGAATTTTTGCTTAAAATAGAAGGATTATCAATATTTTAAAAATATAATTTATTGAACAGCAAATGGTATCTAAAGTATTATAAATTAGTTTGAGTATGAATGCTTTTGTGTTTCTCTTCTAGCACTCTTTGTGGAAAACAGAAAAAAAGTGATGATTGTATCAAGAGCTAATAGTATTGGTTCTACCAGTGCCTCTTCAGTACCAAATACAGGTATGAATTGCTTCCTTTCCTCTCAGTAAAACTCATTTTCTACTCTTAAGTACATAGTGAAATGTACCTTTGTGTTATATTCTTGATTAAATGGGTGTAAATAGATGATCCAAAATGATAAAAGCTACCCCCTACTTCGATATCTTCATTATTAGTTCTTGGTCTTATTGTTGTATTGCTCTTAGTCTGGTCCTTATATTTAATCTTAGTCCTATTTTTCACTATGCTCCTTGACTTTCATTGCTAGAGTTTGCATATTATTTTACTTTCAGCTGTCAGAGTACAGTCATCAGCATAGTGTAAGTTATTGATGTGTCTTCCTCCAGTTTTAAAACCATGCTCATCCTCTTCCATCCAGTTTCCTTCAAAATATATTTCACAGGTAGGTGGAATAAATAAGCAGAGAGTATGCAACCCTGCCTCACTTCTTTGCCACCTTATAGCCAGTATGTTTTGCCATGTTCTGTCTGAAATTTGATTTCCTGACTTGTGTATAGGTTCTACATAAAATAGTGAGATGGTTTTGGATTTTTTTTTCTAAGCACATTTTGTAGCTTGAAATGATCAAATAATCAATTATAATCAGTGAAGCACATGCAGACTCTTATTAGTTATTCTTTGGCTTTCTATTATTTCGTGTACACCAACAATGTTTTTCTTCCTCTGCCTTTTCTGAAGTGACCTTGAACATCTAGCATCTCCCTTCCATGCTGTAATCTGCATTGGATGATTCTAAATATTATTTTACTACCATGCAAAATTGAGGATATTAATAAAATGATTTGCATATTCTATTAAGTAACATTTCTTTGTTATTAGCATTTAGGTAGACTTCTTCCAATCTACGCACTGATCTCTGGATTTACTAGTTAAACTTGGTTAGAACCTTGATCATCTTCTATTGCTTGCCATATTTCTTGAGATATCCCATCAATTCCTATAGCCTTCTGACTTGGTAATGATAGAGTGTTGATCTAATTTCCTCTTCTATTACTAAAGGTTCTTGTAAGCAGGAAATATATTCTAATTAGGTGACAATACTAAATCTAATTTTTATTTGGGCAACACAAACCCAACATATTGGAAATTAACGTAAGCCAATGTAACCTTGCTTTGTGAAAATTGCTAACTGTAGATTTGGAAATCACAGTTCTTAATTATTATACTAACACTCAATAATTCTAAATAGTTCCTGCCACTATAAAGTTTGTGTAGGAGAAAACTAAGCCTATACCATCCACAATTACTTTCAACAGATGTATCTCGTGAATTTCTAACTGATATTAACCTAATTTATAGCTATTGTAATAATTGTGCAGACAGATACTGAATAATTGAGCAATTCATCCACAATCGCATAACCCTCTGATTGATTTCTTTCTATTGCTTCTTGAATTATAGAATACTTTTGTCTACCCAGTGTATTCTTTTATTTTTAAACATATTCATATTTATTGTTCCCCATCACCTTTGTCACAACTTAATTTTTTAAAAAAACAGAATGGGGTCAAAAAAACAAGCTCATTTTCAAATAATCTATTGAGTACCCCCATCCTGGCATCATAAAAGAAAATTGGAGACAAGTAGAGAATGGAATAGCTCTTCCAACTGTATTAATCATTGAAAGAGGGTCTAGGGCAGACATGTCAAATTCAAGGTCTGCGGGCCAGATCCAACCCACGATGTGGTTAGATGTAGCCTGCCTGCCTGCCCTGGAGGTGGCGAAGGGTTGGCCCCTACAACTTTGGCCCCAGCCTGGCCGGGCATTTCCCCTGGGCACGCGCACAGGAGGCAGTAAGCATGCAGGGGGCTGGTGTCCCAGGTGAAAGGGAAGCGCTTGGGGGCTGCAGGGCCAATGGAGATACCAGGCCAACGAGCAGGCCATGGAGGGGCAGAGGCACTGGTGGCAGGTGCAGTGCTGCTGCTGGAGCTCTACTATGCATTGATCAACAACTTCATGGTGGCCACCTGGTGCTGGTACACACATAGTAAAGTTCCAACAGCAGTGCTGCCAAAGTCCTATAATTTAGAATGCATTGTGTGTGTGCGCGCATGCATGAACTTGGCTGCCAGAAATTTGGGGAGGCGAGCATGTAGGGCATTGAATTGTCTCCAGATCGAGTGAGTTGGTACAACTTGTTCCGTTCTGAGTCAGCTGTGCCCAGTGAGTGGCATTGAGCCAGCCATGTCCACCTAGTCACGGCAACCCAGCTGTGACCACCCAACCACACCTGGTTGCTGTGAGTCATCATAGTCTTACATGCAACTGTCCCTTTAAGAGCCACCATAATGCTGATGTGGCCCTCAATGAAATTGAGTTTGACACCCCTGGTCTAGGGGATCTTTCCTGTTTTCTACTTTTGTTATTTTTGAAGGATTATTTAATATATTTAATATCTGAAAATGACAGATACGTTTTATTATGTTTCAATGTCTTTTTCTGTTTTAGATAGGTTGCATACCACTTTATTCATTAGTTCAGGTACACATTATCTTCTCTGATTTTTCACGTGCTTCTCCAAAAATCTTAGTCATTTTGAATTGTTTCTTTTATATTAACTGCAATTGATTTGTGGGCTCCTTTCAGGATTCCAATGGACATAACATAGCTGATTCCTGCCTTATTTAGCTTCAGTTACATAGAATTCTTTATTAATCTGTTTGAGTCTTTGTTAAGTATCCCAGAAGTTTATTATCTTTATTACATTTCACTTAAACGTATTGCAATAAGGGAAGTAAGCAAATTTTCAAACTGAAACTGAAGGAATTATTTTCTTAAGTATCTATGCTGAAATGAAAGTGCCTTTTAGGGACTATTTTCTTAAGCTATAAAACTAAAGTCAAATTACTCCTTTTTCCATTTGGAAAATAAATCTAAGCAATGCTGTTAATGGTTCTTAAGCAGTCTGATCTTCTTTCAGTAAATTGAAACGTTGTGATTAGGAAATTATTGGTAGCATTCACAATGACTTCCCTTCCTTGCTTTGCCAACAAAGACTCTTTTCATGCCACAGATGATGAAGACTCTGATTACCAACAAGATACCTACAAAGAATCATACAAGGATCGCCGTCGCCGTGCTCATACACAAGCTGAGCAAAAGCGGAGGGATGCTATCAAGGTGAGAATATGACAAACCATATATGTATGCTTGCTATTTGTAGCATATCTCAAATTCCTTACAAGTTTACAAAGCTTCCACTTTGGAAGAAAGGAATAGATTTACTGACCAGATTCTACTTTTGTATTCAATTTTCTTGTCATGTGTGGCAGATTTGATATGTGAGTTGTAATGCTTTTCTGTTTTTCCTAACAGAAAGGTTATGATGATTTGCAAGCAATTGTACCCACATGCCAGCAGCAAGATTTCTCAATAGGCTCCCAGAAGCTAAGCAAGGCGATTGTACTCCAGAAGAGTGAGTAGGGCTCCCAAGATTATCTGTCTTCCTTGGCCCATCTCCAAGACCCATTATAAGATTCCCAGAAATTTGTACAAATTTCAGAGTATGCATTATATAACTCCTATTAAATTCTGTAAATAGATTAATTGTACTACTGTATTTTAAGAAACAGAACAAAATAGAATAATCCCTTTTCTGATTAACATGTTTATTAAAAGGTGTACATTTTCATGAGCTCTGTAGCCCACTTTGTGGGAGATATACATAGTGGCTAGATTGTTGCAGAGATAGGGCAGGGGGAGGCTATGCAGATTATGAGAGAGCTTTGGAAATGTGTCCGGTTTGCACACTACTCTACTATTGAGCTAGCTGCTGCTTAATTCCAGTTTAAATTTTTGTCAGTTTAGCCACTCTGCATTTGCTAGTGACCTGCAGCTGATGAAGGCTTATGCTTTTAAACTAAAATTTACATATATATTTTTTTTTTAAAAAAAAACCTTAGTTATAAAAAGTATAACTATTCACTTAGTTTTTTGCCATCGCACACTAACATGGTTCTCCTACAACTTATTAGTATTAGTATTTGTGAATCTATTTAACTCTGTCTTCATTCTTGGGAATGGAATGACAACTTTAATGTAACTGAGCTTAGAAATATCTGAATAGCTAGATGTTGTCTGTTAGACTTTGAAAAGATTTAAATGGCTCCTTTCTAAATTGTTGTTTTCTCTGTTACCCAGCCATTGATTATATTCAATTCTTGCATAAAGAAAAAAAGAAGCAAGAGGAAGAGGTCTCCACTCTCCGAAAAGATGTGATGGCCTTGAAAATCATGAAAGTGTAAGACTTGTGCATTTGTATATTCATGTTTCACTAGTTGACCTCCCCAAAATAAAGTGTGGTATTAGACTAAGAGCAGGGAGACCTATGATTTAAACTATGTTCAGTCATGGACGGTCACAGGGTGGCTTTCTTAGTTCAATCAGGGCTGTGATTTTCAGGAAAAAATAGTAAATGTTACATATGTTTCCTTGAATATTTATGCCTACAGGGAAGAGACATATACTTTTAGTTCAATAGTAAATTCTATTTTGTCTGAGAAACATTTACTCTGTAACATGATTATCATTTATTGTTACAACTCTTCCATCCTGTCCTTAAGAAATGTTTATTCTGCAAAATGATTATTATTCCAGATCTGATTATTCCACATGTATTCTGCTAACTAACTACATATATGCATTTCAGAAACTATGAAGAGATTGTTAAAGCTCACCAGGACAATCCCAGTGAAGGAAAGAATCAGATCTCTGACCAAGTGAAGTTCAATGTTTTCCAGGGTATCATGGACTCCTTGTTCCAGTCCTTTAATGCCTCCATCTCTGTAACAAGCTTTCAGGAGCTCTCAGCTTGTGTTTTCAGCTGGATAGAAGAGCATTGTAAGCCACAGGTAATTCCGGAACATAAGAACATATGGTCAATATCACATATAGGAAAAATATACTTGATTTGCTTGTGGAAGATTTCCTGGATTTAGAGGTAATTATATAAAAAAATCATAATGTGGATATCCATTGCTGTCTCTTAAATAACATTAATCAGCTTCTCTGGCTGGCTCTTGTGCTGAATAAATAGCCTAACAGTGGCAGAGATGGTCATGTCTTTCACACAAAAGCACCCTTGGCATTGCTTAGGAAGAGGAAAATAAAGCACTTGAATGGAAGCTTTTTTTCCCCATGATCTTGCTGCAATGCAGGTGATAAAAAGTTTTATTCCAGTGCTAAAAGGTTGAGAAACTGCCATAGTCAGACTTCAAAACTAGAACTTATAGTGGACTATAGAAGGAACAGATCAGACATCCAGCCCTTGCTTATCAATGGAGACCGAGTGGAGCAAGTGGCCAATTTTAAGTTTCGGGGTGTTACCCTAAAAGAGGACCTGACCTGGTGTGCCCACATTGCAGCCCTGATCAAAAGGGCCCAGCAGAGATTATAATACCTGAGACTTCTCAGAAAACAGCAACTGAATTAAAAACTGCTGGTGACCTCCTACCGCTGCACCATAGAGGATATCTTAACTTACTGTACCTCTGTATGGTTTGCCAATTGCACAGTGGCAGATAGGAAAGCACTCCAGAGGGTTAATGTCATTGCCCAGAAGTTCATTGGTTGCCCTCTCCCCTCTCTGGAAGAACTTTATAGCTCCCACTGCCTTAGGAAAGTTCAAAACATTCTCAAAGATCCATCATCCTGGGCATCCTTTTTTTGAAGTATTACCATCTGGCAGACAGTACAGGATAATATAAACAAGGACAAATAGGTTGAAAAGCAACTTCTAGGCTAGGGCAGTAGCTCTTTTGAATTCTACTGTATAGTGCAGTTAGGGGTTTTCAGTTCAATGTGTGGAGTGTGAAGGATGTGTGTTTATTTTCATGGTCATGATATGCACTGAAGATGGTGTTTGATTTCATTGTACAAGATGCAATGACAATAAAATAAACTAAAGAACAGCAATTGTTGGCAATTTAATTCAGGCAGAATTCTATACCTACCATGTCTTCCAAAGGATAGATTATACCAGAAATAGTTTGCTATCAATTTACGTAGTCCTTTTTTCCACAGACCCTGCGAGACATTGTCATTGGTGTACTGCAACAACTGAAGAGCCAACTCTACTAATCAAAGAGAAAGCTTTGAAGGGCCTAATTTGCAGATATATGGCCAAGAAGCGTTATTCCTTCCAGTAATTCCATTTCAAGCTTTTTTTTTAGGGCTACAGATTGATTTTACCTCTGGAATCCCCTCAGTTTACACAGCAAGCTCTTCAGATGGGGAGAAAAATAATCAGCTCTCAATTCATGTGGATTGCTTGCTGCCATCTCTTTGAAGCCTTGGCTCTACTGTTCCTATGCATTAATGTAGCTGATTTAATAGAAATGTATTTACAATATATCAGGATTTCGCAGTGAGCCAAATTCTCCTTCTTTTTTTTTTTTGAAAAAAGTTTTATGCAGTGAGCCAAATTCTTTTCTTAAATGTGCAGAAACACCAGAATGTCTCTTCACCTCAGTTTGGTAAATACTTTTTCTAAATGCCTAGATGTTATATCTAAGGTTTGGTTCAAGGAGCAGTAGCTAGTGTAATGATTATAAAAACAAAGCTATGTAGCATTTACCTTGGGTTAAGGGCAGAGAACCAGGGAAATTAAGCAATAAACTGCCTTCCTTTGTATAATACATTCTGATAGCCTTGTAGAGAGCTAGTAAGTTTCTTGTAACAACCTTCAGTTGTGTAGCCAACCTCCAGCTTTTGAAAATTAACCTATATGCAATCATCATTTGCCTTCACTTCTATTCTATGGATTAAAAGTCTGAATAGGCTTATCAATTATGTTGTATTAGCAATAAAAGGGAAAATATCTTTTACTCTCTTGCAGCCTTGGTTTCTAATAATGCAATGAAGTGAATTAAGCCAACTCCCTTCTGCAGCTGCTTTTTTCGTTTATTTTATTTCTTTTGCTGCAAAAGTGGATCTGCTGCCTTTTACAGACACCACTTTCTGGATCTACTGCTGGCTGGTGGAGAAGGATATTAACTCAGACAAGACTGCTATTTTTTTATGATGACATGCAGTTCTAATAAATTTGCTATGTGGTTGAATGACTTTGTCAGTTTTGCCTGATTTTATCTGAAATAATATTTTAGAAGACTTTGAACCTAGGTATTTCGGTTGAAATTATTCTAGTTATTTCATGGTAATTGTATAAAATGCTAATTTCTAAATTGGGGGCTATCCTATTGTTTTGGACTCTGAATCATATATAATGTTCCACTGACACCTGACATTTCCACAATATTGGCCCTTATTTGATGAGGGATCAGCAACTTGAAATTAAGCCAACTCCTTTCTGCAGGAGTTATCAAAATGAATGTATTATACATCTGGCTTTTTTTTTTGTGCTATTCAAATTCTTTTGCTACTGAAAATTTGTATTTTACTCACAAACTTTGGTAATATGATCTTGTAATGCAACTGCCAGTCACATGCAACCATACAGAAGTAAGCCGATATTTGATCTAATCTAATAGGTTAAATATCAAATAAATGCAACATCAGGTTTTCAATTCAATTGTATAGAATGTGAAGGATATGTGCTTGTGTTTTATTTTTATAGTTATAATGTACACTGAAGATGGCATTTAATTTCATTTACGAGGTGCAATGACAATAGAGTAAACTAAATAACTAAATAGCCACTTGCCCAAGTCAGGAAACTAATCTTTTAATATCGATTTTCCAAGGTACATTGTTTTTCTTCCATGTAACAAAGAAGTGGTAAACCCAGTTGTTCTACCCTCTCACAATTTCCCAATTAGCTTGGAGAAAATGTATTAAATTTGTTTGCATCTCACAAGGTGACTTTCAGCATAAAGCAAAGCATGATGGCTAAGTAACAATTGACATTAAAATTTCCCCCAATTCTTGGTGGAATAATTAGCTCACTCTAAATAGTAGTTAATGGCATAATATGCTGTTAATACAACATGCAGGGCCAATTACAGAAAAAACAATACTATCAGAATTCAAGTATTTTGAGCCCCCTCCCTCATATTCTCAAATGCATATTAAATTTTTGTTCTAACTACTTTAAGAACAAAACAATCAGACAGATTAGGAAATCCTATGGTGAATACTAGGAAAAAACTAAACAGTGTAAAATGGGAGGTGTGCTTTTACCCAATGAATGCAAATATTTTTAAATTCTGAAAATCAGAGCAACAGAATATGAGAAACTGAAACTTGAATGCTTAGATTTCAATTACACAGATGAGATCTTGGTTCACACAGAGGGTACTGTAACATTGAAATCTTCATCTGTCTCAATGCCAACTTCCTCCTGAATAAGAAACAACACATATTCTTTTAAGGTGTAATAAATGAAAAGAGCATTCTGCAGACCGTAACTAGCCCGATAATTGAACGATCTACAGTTGGAACTGACCACTGGCCTGCTTATATCCCTGTGGCTCTTAATATCAGTTTATATGTAATACTCACAAAGAACTGTTTCTTGCTTTTTGGGTAGCCTTCAAGGATTGCATCAAGTAATTCTGTTGCCTGTTTGAGAAAGTTATGTCATACATTTAGTTGGCATCATTTCTACAAAGATTGGCAGATAGAAATAACCGGTTTGGTAATTATAGGACAAAAATATATGAATTTGTCTATAACTAGTTGAAAACACGGCTGGTAAGCAATTGGAAAGTTATTCCATAAATCTTGAAAACAACATTTCTCAAAATAACATAGACAATAATGATAAAAATAAAATCCATTTTTCAAGATCTAAGTCATAACACTTTCTATCATTTGACTTAAATATGATTAAAACAGTAAGTTAAGAAAAAAGACAGCAGGAATGTTCATCTTAAGGAGATACAAAACTTCGTATTAAATTCTTGTTAAAAATAAAAATGAAATATTTTGTTAAAAAACAGATACTGATTTAAGAAAAATGAAGTATTTTTCACAATTATTTGTTATGCTACCTTTTCAATAATCCATTTGCCATATTTTTATTATAATTGATTCAAAAGATCAAGGATTTGGTTTCCAAGAATCTAGTGGTCTAACAATTACATGATGAAAATGAAGGTGAAGTTTTTAGAGCACATAACTTTCCATATTGCTACATTTTTCAACAGCTGAAGCTTCTACTTTTGAAGGGTAGCCCATGTAGAATGTATTACAGTAATCAGTTATTCTTTCTATTATCAAGAAATAAATAGACCATGTCTCACAAAACACCCATGCCAAAAAAAAAAACGTTATTTACAATTAACTTGTACATATTTTAATCTTGTATTTTATGTTTTAAATTTTATGCCATATGTTTTATTTTAATTTTGATGCTTCTGACACGAATAAGCAAATTATTTTCAACACAAAAAGAAGAATGCACTATTAGTTTAACAGATAATAGGAATCCCTTCATTCAATAACCAGATTAAATTATGCATGCAATTGAGTCTGCAGCTGTATATTGTAAGCCATCACTTGAATCTTTTACACTTGAAAAATAGTATATTTAGAATGTATTCTGTTGGTTTCCTATATACATACTCAATACAATTATATCATCTTTAAACTGTAAATAATTGTGTCTTACCATTCTCTTGCGGCGACGCCATTCTCTGCAGTACAGTTTTTTCTCATTGTAGACCTACAATCAACAAAACCCAAGCAATTTTGTTTTCAGGTCCTATGAAACAGCTCAGACTGCAACCAGCTTTGATGTAGCTGAAGCTACAGCATCCAAAACTGAGTTGACAAACTACCTGCAAGAAAAGGGCCTTAAGTGTGTTCACGTTTATCCCCATTTCATGCCAATTAGAATTAGATTTTAATTAGACAATTAGATTTTCAATGATCTTGAGTTTGTGCAAATTCTCCAGATCCCATGAAGAATTGTTAGCAAAGATTTACAATGTTGCAAGTTTCTGTACAAGTCATTGGCTAATGACATGTGCCATAAACTAAACATGAGCATGTAGAGTATGTAATTTTGTATTAGAGTACTATGTAATTTGATATAATCTTCCACATATTAAGCCTTATGTTACCCTATACTTAATATTTCTACTCTTCCCTTTAGATTTTTATATATACTTTCTATTTTATACCTTTTAGGTTTTCTTGTTTTTTAATCTGTTTTTACCTGACTGCATCTTAACCCTCTATATGCTGGTCTATGGCCATAATAAAGATTTTATTATTAGCAAAGAATAATGTGTTTTGGAGTCCTGGGTCTCTTCTCTCTCTGATGCTCGACATAATTTTGGAATATTCGGCAATTCCACTGCCCTTATATATGGTTAGTATAGGATAGCAGGGCAACCAGAATGGGCAGTCTGAACCATCCCTTTCTCTGTCACTGGACCTTCCCTTCGTTACCTTTTCTTTCTCCTCATGGGACACATGATTGGCAGCAGATTTGATCCGTTCCAGTTTCTCTGTATAATTGGCACAATCTTTTTTTAAGTCTTCAATTTCTTTAACCATCTCTGGGGTTGTCATAGAGCCCTTCAGTTCTTTCAGCTCTGGAATGGAATTACTAGTTACAATAGCTGAAATGGCACTGGTCAATGGGAAACTTCCAGGCATTTAAGCTGCAGCTCAGATACAAACAGTTTCCAAAGGTTCCATGCCATTCAAGCACTCAATTGCACAAGTATTCACAGTCAACAAACTGATTTAACTTTCCTGAACATACCTGATTCCATGTGACGACAGTTCTGTTGGAGTGTCTGAACTTTGCCAGATAGTTCTGAAATCTCATTGTCCAAGCCCTTGAGTTCTGATTCACTTGTATTACCAAAACGATTCTGGAAAAACATGTATAGGACAGAGCATTAATCTAAGATGACCAGCAGAAGTTTTATGTATATATTTTATGTATACTATAATGGAATAAACCACATTCCAAGCAATCAGGTTTTTGTGAAAACCAAACCATCATATATACTTGTACTATCCTTATAATATTTTCAGCCAATGCACTTCTCTTCCAAAACAATCATTATCAATTTACAAAGAAATAATTTTCAGATGAGAAACTATTTGCTTATTTAATAAAACTAAAGCAGCATCTCCACCAAGCTTGTATCTCTGGTGCTTAAAAATTTCAGGCAACTATATAAAACTTTGTCTTGTAATATTAAATTTCAACTTAATTTATATAAGAAAATTTCACCATCTGCTCATCTAGTTCAGTATTTGTCAACTGCTGGTTAAATGGATTCATATGGGAAGCTCACATGCCTCTACTACAGAGTGATAACTTTCAATTTTAGTTTCCTGGTAACTAATATTTTTATTTATGCAATTGTTCTTTTGTTAGATTTCTGTCCCATCTTCCTTCAGAAACTCAGAATGCATGAAAAATTATGGCACACCCTCTCTCGGTTCACCCCTGCAAAGAACAGCTCCATGAAATTGGTTGGCAGAGACAGTAACTGGCTCAAAGTCACTTGGAGGATAAGAAGAGATGTGAATGTGGCTTTCCTATGTCCCAGGCCAATACCTTCATGGCATGCATTCAGTCGTGCTTCAAAAGCTGTATAGATTAGGGGTCCCCAACCCACAGGCTATGGCCCACTACCAGGCTGTGGCCTATTTGCAACCTTGCCACAGGCTGGCAACATGCACACGCATGTGCAGCTTGACTCACGCAAGTGGTGGGCCAGTGCACACACACGTGCATATAACTCAACTCGTGTGTATGGCAGGCCAGCATGCAGGCATGTGTGTACACAGCTCGACTTACAATCCAGCTACATACGCATGTGTGCTCGTGCAGCCCAGTTCCCCTCTCCTTCCCCCAGCCAAGCCACAAAAGTTGGTGACCTAGATCCATCTTATGTACCAGCTATTACACATCTTCCTGCTGGCTGTTCCTGCTGGTTATTCACATATCTAGCCAGAAGCCCAAACAAATATTTAATGTAGCTAACTAATAAGACAAACTGAGATCAGAAGTTAATTCTAACTTGTAGAAGTTTTTAAGTTACTAAAAGACTCTGGGAAAGAGAAGTTGAAGATGTGTAACAGTTGGTATATAAGATGGATCTAGATCTGATTGTCGTTATTGGTTTTAGAAAAGCACATGGATGTTCGGCAGTCCTGAAACAGACTGAGTTAGGTTTCTTGCTGAGGCTTTGTTTTTTGTTTTTCCCCCCTGAGCTGGTAGAAGTTAAATTTAAGTTTCACAGAATGGCATTTTACCTGATCTGGAAAATAAATCTTCTGTTTCCCATAAATCTTTTCATTGATCTTCCCTTGCTGAGCCAACTGCTCCAGTGCCTTCACTACAGCCTAAATCAAACAGAAAACAAGAAGATGCAGAATGAGAAAAATTCACAACAAAGTGGAGGACTGAAATTAAAACTGCAAATTGTTTGAACATTTAAAGGAAGATGAAAATTTGACAGAAAATTCTTTGCTATAGGAGAACTGAGCACAATTGTTAAAAATGCACATTGGATTTCAATACTGAATGAAAAGGATGAACTTAAATCTATGCAAGCATTGGAAGAACAAGGTGTAAAAATGAACTGGTTTTCATATTTGCAAATACAATCTAGATTTGACAAAGATTTTAAAACAGAAGGTATTTATGATAAGTTGACTGATTTAGACAAAATTTTGATGGGTACTGATGAAAAGGTAATTAAAAAACTTTATGGACATTTATTAGAATTTAATTTGGAGGAGAAACAAGTTAAACGACGATTGCTTGGGGGGGGGAATTTTGGATATGGGATTGATTTAGAAAAATGGCAAAAATTGTGGTCTCAAAATTATAAAATGACAATGTCAACTGCATATAAAGAAAATTTGTATAAGATGTTTTACAGGTGGCATCTACCCCCCGACAAGACTTACGAGAATGTTTAAGAATAAATCGGATAAATGTTGGAAATGTCATCAGATACCTGGTTCATATTACCATATGTGGTAGACATGCTCGGATGCAAAAAAATATTGGACTAAAATCCACACATGGTTGGAAAAAATGATAAAACAACATATAGACTTTAAACTAGATATCTTTTTATTGGGAATTATACTGGAAATATACAACAAAGAGCTGAAATATTTGATTGTAAATGTTTTAACAGCGGCTAGAATTGTATTTGCTAAGAATTGGAAAAATGATAAAATACCTATGCAGGAGGAAGTTATTAAGAAAATTATGGACTGTGCTGAAATGAGTAAATTGACATTTGAAATTTTATATGATATGGGATTTGTTTTATCAATGGTTGGACAAAAAGACATGGTAATGTAATAGATTAAATAATTTTGTAATAGAAGTTTAATAGATTAATATAAAATATAATATAGACATATATAACCATTGGATGAAAGTATAATATAAATTTTAAAACAAAATTTGGAATATCTCGTATAAAATGATGGAATAAATAGTTTAGTCATGGATGATTAATAACTGATAAATATATAAGCATATGTTAGTTTGACAATGTGAAAATTGATATAAACTGTGAGTAATGACTACAAAAGGATAGCACAAAAGATTTGTAACCAACTGACACACTAATGTATATAAAATGGAAGATGGTTTTATGTTTTTATGTTTTGTTTGTATACGTTTGTCTTAAAAATTAAAACTTTTAAAAAATGCACATTGGATTTCAAAAGAAATCTGTCAACTCAGGTAGTGGGGAGTTAGTGCCAATATGTGAATGTGTTTGCTTGAAGTGTAATATGCTGCATAACACAGTACAAATAAAAATGATCCCATAAGCAGAGAAACAGTAATGGTATTTCTTAGCCAATCAAGTTTCTTCAAGGATGGTTCATATCATGAATATTATGAACATACATTATTCTTCTATATTAGGATTATGTTAAGTTAAAATACCCAATCTGAAGAATTTAGCATACAAAAGAAAGTGAACTCCAATATTATTTTGATCACTGGAGTTAACACAATTCCCACAGTGCACCTCTTGACACCTTGTCTTACCGTCTTGCCCAATCCATGTTGTTTCTGTAAGTTGCTAAAGACATCCTGAGCACTGTGAGGCCGGTTCTGCTCCTGAAGATAACGTAACAGGATGGCAGCATAGTCTCCAAATCAAAAAGGAAAAAATAAAATTATGACAACAGACTAACATATGTGAAAATCACATAAAAACAGAATGAAATAGTCTTTTCTTATAGATAGTTTAACATCTAGAGCAAGGGTCTTCAAACTTGGCAAGTTTAAGACTTGTGGACTTCAA